TTATATTTTCTCTCTCCTGTCTTTTAAATGACCTTTTGCTTTCTTCATGGGATCTTGATGCCATGCGACAACTCATCTGGTCTTTGGTCAGTAGTGTTTAATGTGTCAAATCTGTTCTCAAGATATACTTTTAATTCAGCTGAGATATATAAGATTATACTTTGGCTCTCAAGTATTACTATAATTGTTTTCTACTTCAACTTAAATGTGCGTATGAGCAAATGCTGGTCTATTCTGCAGTCTGCCCCTATAGCCTGGTTCTGCCTGATGATACTGAGCTTCCCCATAATCTCTTTCCATAGCTGTAGTCAATTTGATCCCTGTGTATCCCATGTGATGAGGTCCACCATTAGTATTGTTGCAAAAAGTTATTTGTAATGAGTAAGTCATTGGTTTTATAAGATTCTAAGGTGAGATCTTCAGGGTTGATTCTGGCCCCAGCTCCATATTTTCCAACCACTGATCATTCCGTGTCCATTTTTCACAGTCCAATCGCCAGTAATTATCAACGAATCTTCACTGCATGTTTAATCAATTTCATAGTGCAAAACTTCATCAAAATCTTCAATTCCTTCATCTTTGACATATACAAGTTGATGTGTAAATTTGAATCATAATCATATTCAATGGTCTTCCTTGTAGGGTTGATGTTACCATATCACGGACAGTATAGTACTTGAGGACAGACCTTGAAATATTCTTTGTGACAGTGACTACAATTCTGATCCTCTTCCATTTGTCATTCCCAGCACAGTAGACCATATGACTGTCTGATTTATAATAGGCAATACCAGTTCATTTCAGCTTACTGATGACTGGGCTGCCAATCTTCAAGCTTTCCACTTCATTTTAGATGACTTCCAGTTTTCTTATGTCTCATACATTCCATGTTCTTATTTCTAATGGACGTTTTGCTGTGTCTCACACAGTCTACGTTCTTGTCTCTAATGGACGTTTTCCTGTGTCTCACACACTCCACGTCTTAGTTCTAAGAGACTACAAATAACCTCATCCTCTGGTCCCCAAAATTCTCAACCTGCATGATCCAAAGCCCCTTGCTCTATGAAATCCCAAATCTCCTCACCCTGAGAGAGTCTAAACCCCCGCAGCCTGAAGGACCCTATATTCCATCAGTTTACAGATCCCTACTCTTAGATACCCAGCCTGCTGTATTCACAGATCTTTCCACAGTTTCCTGGCAGAGACCCCAGACTCTTCTCTGAGAAACGCTAGTGTGAACCCCCACGACCCCTTGGCTGTGCTACTGCATCAGAACTTGTAAACCCCCCAACACCCTGACTTCCCATAGTCCTTCTCCTCTGACCCCAGTTCCAGATACACTTGGCACAGGGCAGTGACTTGGGTGGCTGTCCTTACTGCCACCTCTTCTTTCCACAGGCACTATGCTCTTGGGCTGGAACTGTCAGAACCTGTGGGTGATGCTGACAGCATGAAGCTCACCAAGAGCCATGGAGGAGAGCATGAGGAGGACACCCATGGTAAGGGGGTAGTGGGAGGCCGGAAAGGGAGGCCCACTGAGAGTGCTGGAGATGGCTGGTGTGTGGGGAGGGATCCACAAAAAGAAGGGGGGGGTCTGTTGGAGAATGAGGACACCGGCCTCAGCACCTACCCTGTTTGGGAAGTGCTAGAAGATGCCTAGAGTCTGCTCAGTTCATCAGAAAGTGCCTCCAAAGGAAGGAGGGTCATTGTGCCAGCTGCTCCCTGTCCATGTGGACGGACAGGCGGTCTAGACCTGGACCCATTGCATGTTGTATTTCTCCAGAGACAGTTTCATACACTTCTCCAAAGAGGGCTGCGTGGAGACGGGAGAGTCTGAGAAATGCCCTCCATGAATGTCAAAAGGAACTAGGAGCCACTGGTCACAGTAGGGTCCTACCCACAGGCCTCGGCCCCTGCACTCCCAGGACAAGCTCCTGTGTGGAGGGAGACCTGGGGGGACAGTTGGTTCTCTGTCCACTCTGGCCTTTCCCAGATATCCACTGAGTCACAGCCCTTACTGCCTGCTTTTGTCTTGGAAGATAAAGTTTTGTTTGTTTTTTGTTTTTACCAGTTTAATTTTCCAGTTTGTAAAAGAGCTCATTATTATATTTATTATTTATTTAAAGTTTTAATTGTGCCTTGAGTGATATTTACATGGGAGCACATTAGCTTTACATTCATCCTATCGAATATTGTTTTATTGCCATGGTTACAATCCCCTCCATGCATCATCAAACAATCAAAGGGTACCCACCACAGGCCTGGCCCCCGGACCTCAACACACAGACCCTCTCCCTCCCTGAGTCCAACGTCTCCAGCCGCTCCATCTCTGGCGTCACTACTTCTCTGGATAGGGTCCTAACTCCATTTTTCTTCCTTGAAGGGTATCTGGGACCTCCGCTCCTGAACTGCAATATCAACCACTCCCCTCCTTTTCTTACAAAATGTAGGACAAAGATTTTGTTCTTTCCAGGTCTCCAAATCCCTTGCGTAGTTTTCATGTGTCAGAGCAGCCAGGGCATCAAAGCCCAGGTGGGTGACACTGAGAATTCCAGTACAGAATGGACACCTAGGCAGTAAGGTGAGGCTAGCAGGATCTGAGGGGTCAGGTCTTAGCCACTCCTCAGGAGTTAACAAAGAGCTGTTCATGCAAAGATATACATACGTGTCCAACCAACAAGCAAGCTTCAAAGAGTACAAT